AAGCACAAATGATTCCTGCTGACAGAAATGCCCAGTCATGTGACACATTTATGTTGTCAGGTTGCTTTTATGTTGTGTACGAGCTGCTTCCAGTAAACGTTTGACTAGAGGAAGCAAATAAAAAATGTAAGTCAAGTGCAACTAGAGAGCTTGCTTACAGCAAAACCTGCAAAGCATTTGTGAAAAGCATAACTGCACAGCAAAACTTGTTACTAAAAATTAGTTACAAAAATGTTACTACCATAGTTTACTTGATGAGTTTTGCTCAATTCCTGGATGCTGGTGGGATCATGATTATGTTATTTGATCCCACAGACAATTGAGCCAACATAGCCAAATATTGCTGTTTGACAACTTTAGACTACACCAGATACATAAGAAACGTCTGTAATCTTTTTTCACTTCCATTAACTGAGCCTCTGAAACAGATTGCTTCCTCCCACTTTGAAAACCTCTGATCTATGCACCTTATTAAAGCAGACTTTAAAAAGACTTGAAAATAACAAATACATTACCCCCAAACTAGGCTACCCCTGTGTCATTACTGATGTAATGTAATGGTAAATAAATCAACTCCTAATGGTGGTCATCAGCCACTAAGGAAATATTAGTATAAAAATAAGCAGAAAAACATGATGCCTTTCCTCACTTGTTGAGCCAGTGGAACATGAAGGTAAAGAGAAATAAAAGGAGCTGAACTCACCTGACGCCACAATGACAGTCAGCAGCTCTGGGGCCATCGCAGGAGAAGATATGAAACTTGAATCTTTCTTCAATCAGTTGCACACATTATCTTCCAAACAAATCACTCCTTTGCCCTCCAGCTGGAGGAAAACAGCTGATTCTCTGGCTTTCTCCAAACTCCTAAAGACGACAGCAGATTCCCCAGAATCAACCAGCAGCTAAACATTAACACCATGTCAGGAGAGTGGTGGAGCTTCCAGCAGAGATAACTAATCTCAGACAGTCTTGGAAACACTCTGCAAAGCTGACTCTTGTGCAAACTCTAGTGGAAGTTGTTGGAGACGCGCCCAAAATCGACCTTTTCAAAAAGAATATAGTGCATCCACTCACTAAAATCACTGCTAGATACAATAAATAAATAAATACATACTATCACATTTTCACAGTTAGGGTTGTACAGAATGGCCACAGACTTGAGATTCAGACTTAAGTTGTTGTGAAATATTCAGATTAGTAAAAGTAGCAATCTCACACTGTAAAAACAACTCTATTAGTCTTGCTTAATTAAAAGTAGGCTACATACAGTAATAATTATCAGCAAAACATTTTAAGTTTTTTGAAGTATCATAAAGTATTAATCATGCAGCAGGATTAGTCCTATCAGAGTTGTATTGGTATATCATATCATATCATATTATTGATGCACAAACATGTAAGAAGGGTGTGTAACAGGTTGAGGTGGAGCTCATTTGTACTGTTGGACATGTTTCATCTGTAAAAATGCATCAAATGATCAAATATCACTTTGATAGCAAAATGTTTAAAAAACTTTTGAAAGCATTCTTTAATGATATTTTGAGTGGTTTTCAGCAAAGATTTATAATTGTAATTGTTATTGTATTAAGGGTTTCTAGCAGATTTATACTGTGATACTAGTTTGTGAAAGAAGGACAGTACGTGGGGGGAGGAAGAGTCAAAGTTGAAAAGGTTCAAAGACAATATGCATAAAATGTTGACAAAAAGAACAGAATAAACAACAAAGTCACAATAAAGAGATGTTTAATAATGTGGAGATTAATAATAATGAAAATAGAGTGTCCTAAAAGTATGAGGTAGACTTGGATTTGACTGCTCAGACCAGACCCCTTTAAGACATTTGAAACAATCAGGTTCCTCTAGCTCCTCATAATGCTCCTAATGGCATTTGCAAGCAATCAGAGCTGAGAAAGATAGCTGATTGTTGAGTGTCATTCCCAGTGTCAGTATTTGTCAACCTTCCTCTACTCTGATGGCATTCTTACAAATACCATTAGGATCAATTCAATTCAATTTTATTTGTATAGCACCAATTCATAACAGAAGTTATCTCAGGACACTTTTCAAATAGAGCAGGTCTAGACTGAACTCCTTATAACATTTATAGAGACCGAACAGTACCACCATGAGCAAGCACTTGGCGACAAGGGCAAGGAAAATTGCCTGTTAAGCGGCAGAAACCTAGGACAGATCCTTCGGCTCTAGGTGGGTGGTCGTCTGTCTCGACCAGTTGGGGTGAAAAGAGTGAGAGAGAGAGAGAGAGAGAGAGAGAGAGAGAAAGAGAGAGAGACAGGTGCACAGCAACAACAGTAACAACAACTACACTAATAGTAGTGACTGATGATGATGAACATGACAACAGCAACGATGGGGGACAATGAGCAGTGACAACAGCAACAACAGTAACCGTAGCTATAATAATACTTATAATAATAATAACAATAATATCAGTGATATTAGCAATGGCAGTCAAGCAGGACCATGGCAGGAGGCTCCACCAGGATCCATGAGAACCTGCGAGACGAGAAAGCACAAGAACTCCGGGGAAGAAGTGAAGTTAGTAACATGCATTAATGAATGAGTGCAGAAAGAGAGAGGAAGAGAGGAGCTCAGTGCACCATGGGAAATCCCCCGATAGGTCTATAGCAGCATAACTAAGGGATGGTTCAGGACTCATCTGATCCAGCCCTAACTGTAAGCTTTATCAAAGAGGAATGTCTTAAGCCTACTCTTGAATATGGTGAGGGTGTCTGCCTCCAGAACCACAACTGGAAGCTGGTTCCACAGGAGAGGAGCTTGGTAACTGAAGGCTCTGGCTCCTGTTCTACTTTTAGAGACTATAGGAACCACAAGTAGCCCAGCATTCAGAGAACGTAGTGTTCTAGTGGGGTAATAGGGTACTATGAGCTCTTTAAGATATGAAGGGGCCTGACCATGAAGAGCTTTATAGGTGAGGAGGAGGATTTTAAATTCTATTCTACATTTTACAGGGAGCCAGTGCAGAGAAGCTAGTACAGGAGAGATGTGATCTCTTTTTCTAGTTCCTGTCAGTACTCGTGCTGCAGTGTTCTGAATTAATTGGAGCGTTTTAATGGACTTATTGGGGCAGCCTGATAATAAAGAGTTGCAGTAATCCAGCCTAGAAGTAACAAATGCATGGATTATTTTTTCTGCATCTGTCTATGACAGGATGTGTCTAATTTTTGTAATATTACGTAAATGAAAGAAGGCAGTCCTGGAGGTCTGCTTTATGTGGGAATTAAATAACGAAACCTGATCAAAGATAACTCCAAGATTCCTGACAGTGGTGCTAGAGGCCAAGGTAATGCCATCTAGAGTAACTATATCTTTAGACAGTGAGTCTCTAAGGTTTTTGGGGCCAAGTACAAGAATTTCGTTTTTTTCTGAGTTTAACATCAGAAAATTGCAGCTCATCCAGGATGTTATGTCCTTAAGACATGTTTGTAATTTAGATAATTGATTAATTTCATCGGGCTTGATCGATAGATATAACTGCGTATCATCTGCATAACAGTGAAAGTTAATGGAGTGATTCCTAATAATGTTGCCTAAAGGGAGCATATATAAAGTAAATAGTATTGGTCCAAGTACAGAACCTTGTGGAACTCCATGACTAACTATAGTATTTATTGAAGATTCATCGTTAACATGTACAAACTGCGAACGATCTGATAAATATGACTTAAACCAGCTTAGTGCGGTTCCTTTAATGCCAATTTGATTTGCTCAAGTCTCTGTAAAAGAATAACATGGTCAATGGTGTCAAATGCAGCACTAAGATCTAATAATACAGATCTTAGTGCTGCAACTATAGCAGCACTAAGTTTTTATTTTAGTTTATTAATCATCATAAGACCAATATGCATCTAAATAATTCTTAATGATCCCCCAAAGTGTAAAGATTTGATGTTAGTCACATAAAAAATCACAGAAAATGAATAGGCTACCATTTTGATAATCAATTAATTATAAATAATTTTTATCATACGTCAGCTCTTTTGACAGGTAATAATTGATCATGAATAATAATAATAAAGAGAAAAAGTACATTTAACATCTGTAACATCTGTATAAAGAAGATGCTTAACATTTCACCACTCCTTACTCACTCTGGAATATGAAATATTAGACCTCTGCATTGAAAAAACCTGGTCTCAACTATTTAAAACAATCTATTGCCACAGTATAGAAAGCAAAGTATTAAATGCTGCGGTGTCATCAGGTTTAACAGTGTAACTGTACACTGTAAAACCTGAGGAGTTAGTTCAACTCAAATTGTTAGTGGAAACCGATTGCCTTAAACCATTTAAATACATTACCTCCAACAATTTGATCATGAAAAAATTTTCAATTTGAGTAACTAAGATATGTATTGTTAAGGTAACATGGATAAATAAAGTTAATTATAACAATTTCATTTTCAATCATATAAAGTCAACTAAAAGAAAATTCGATGGAACAAACTGAAACTATATCACCAATACTTAAAACACTATAATAATACACATATGTAAGAACAAAACAACTGAGTTATTACTTCATTCATTTTTGAGTTGGGTCTAATTCATCGGAATTAGTTAGCTTACTTCTTTTATTAAGATATGTAAAATATATGAAAAAAACAGACTCATGTACCTCAAATTAAAAACAGTATTGAAGTAAATGTACTTAAAATTCCTCCTTCCTTCCACAGCCAGAATGTATGAAACATTAGACCTCTGCCCTGAAAGTAAAGCAATCTATTGACATAGAGAGCGAAGTTTTTATATGCTGCAGTGTCATATTATTACTCAGCACTCAAAGACCTGGAAGACTTCAAATATCAAGACTCCTGACATGACACATCCTCCACATCCTCATCCCCTCATCTTCCTCACATCCTCCCCGTCCTCTTAGTAGCTGCCGCTCAGCTCAGTCTCATCATCATCAACCCTCCATCCTTTTCACCCTCACCTCCCCCACCGTTCCTACTGTTTTCTGCGTGTCGTGGGTGAACGATCACGACGCGCCTTTTAAATGTTAAGTGATGTGGGAAGAAGACTGTGATTCACTGCACGGGAAGGAGGGAGGAGCCTGTGGAGGAGCGAGAGAGAGAGAGAGAGAGAGAGAGAGAGAGAGAGCTTTTATTCTCCTCTCCGGGCTCCGCCGTGGTGAGAGCGCACAGGATGGAGCGGATGGAGTCGATGGAGCCGATCTCGGCGCACTACACCACAGCTTACCCGGAGATCCAGCCCGATAGCGGCTACGAATCCAGAGAGACCACTGACAGCCAGGCAAAGACCCCACCAGCTCCCACCTATGATGAGGAATTAGTGCACAAGGTAAGGTGGTACTGATACCATCATACTGTAGCTTGTACATCCAGGAAGTGGCTCGTTTTGTGGCAGCAAATTTTAAACTTTGCAAGATTGGGTTCTGTTCCACTACAAAACAACAAGAAAATGACTTTAAATGTGTGTGCTTTCTTAAAATGTATTTTATTTATCTGTTTATTTGCTGGCGTTTACGACATGTACCCTAAACCTGAAAGTACCCGGGTCCTCCAGCCGGGTGTACGCCCCCGCTCTGGGCAGGTTCTTGCGCTCTCCGTGGTGCTGATCTTCTCTTGGACGCGTTTCAGTTGGTCCGCTTCCCTCTTGTTGCGTGTCAAATCTGCCTAAAACACATAATTCCAATTCCAGTAATGAACAGTCAGCTTTTAAGAGTGCTGCCTCAGAGGAGAACAAGGCTGTAAGAGAGCACACTTTCTTCTAAAGTGCTCCCCAGCAAGACACACAATCCCTCCATCCAGGAGCAGATCTACAGAAAATTGATGGGGTGGCAAGAGGGTGGCACTGACACTTTAAGTGGTCTTAGAAATATATGCTGATTTAACCACAAATAATCAGGTATGTCAAAATGTGCTTGGACCCTAACCCTAACCCTAACCCCCAAATGAAGATATTTGAACTAAAAAACATAAAATGATTGTGGCACATTAGTAAAGCACTGAATAGAAAGGTGGCATTAGTTTTATTTCCAAATCCAAATCAAACATTTTCACTTATTGAATTTAATGCATCAAATCTGTTAGCATTTGTCACCAAAGTGAGGTCTATTCCCAGCTCCTACAATCCAGCCAAAGTGTTCTTTTTTTTAAGTATTTGTTGGGGGCTTTTATTGCCTTTATGATAGTGACAGCTGAAGACAGGAAAGGGGGGCAGAGAGAGAGGGGATGACACGCAGCAAAGGGCCGTAGATCGGATTCAAACCCTGGGCTGCTGCAGCCTCAGTACATAGGTCGCCGGCTCTACCCACTGACCTATCCAGGCACCCCTAAGTGTCCTTGAGCAAGATACTGAACGCCAAGTGTGTGTGTATGGGTGAGCTTTTGAGCACTGTGGATAGGAAGCACTGTATCACTCCTGATGAGCAGTTGGCACCTTGCATGGCATCCTCTGCTGTCAGTGTGAGAATGGGTGAATGTGGCAATTGTGGTAAAGTGCTCTGAGTGCTTTACAACATTTGCCAGAGAAAAACACAACCAGAGAAGTGCTGTATTAATACGAGTCCATATAAAATATAATGTGCTCCAAAGTGACAACTATTTTTAATAATAACTGTATTTGTATTGCGCTTTACAAGCAAGGAGCATAAAGTGCTTTCCAGTGGTCAGACAAGCAGGCGAGCCTATAAATGTGTATTAAGAGAGGATTTGAAAGCTGAGAGAGTCAGCAGACGGAATTGCAAAGCCAAGATGTCAGTACAGCAAAGATCCATCGTCTTTAACCCTGGAACAGCTAAAAGACCTAAGCCAGCAGATCTAAGGCTACATTCACACTGAAGGCTTTCCTTTGAAGGATTTCCCCCTGGGATTATTAAAGTATTTCTGATTCTGATTCTGATTCTGAAGGCACAAGTGACCCAAATCGGATTTTTGTTTGCTCATATGTGAGTGTGAAGAGCACAAATCCCATGGAATCTGATGTTTTTAATTCTGATTCAGGCCACTACCATATGTGGTTACAGGTCAGTGGGACTTCAGTGTGGACAGTCATATAAGAATTCACATGACTTTTAGAACACTGAAGACCGACATTCGTCATGCAGGTCAATTCAGGACCATGACCTGTTCACAATGGAGTCTGATATGGGCCACATTTAAAAAAAATAATGTAAACCGCAAAGAAAAAACAAGCCAGACGTGATGCTACAACTTAGTAATGTGTAGGATTTAAAAAATTGACTGAGATGAAGTTGAACATTGATACGGGCAAACAAAGCATTACAATAGACCAGGGAAGAATCATTTATCTGGTATTGCAGACATTGGAAATATTCCAGAGTTGGTAAAAACATGATTGTACAATTTTTTTGTTGAAAGTTTAGTTAAAAAATGTCACCCAAATTCTCAGCAATACCCTACTTGGAATAAAGGGACAGAGCAGAGGCAGGATTGCAAGATACAGCTGGAAGATAAGGAAGGGTGTAAGTGTGCCTTTGGATGTTCTGTTACACATATTCAGTTGCAGTAATATGAGTGTTTGTAGAAGCTTTGGGCTCATTTTTTTGGAACAGTGAGTCAAAACAAGCCGGCTTGTTTAGAGTCCAGACCACAGTGACCCTCCGTACTGCTCAGGAGGACTGGCCTTTGACCTGACTGTAGATGGAACAGAGAGAGAAGAGACACTCCCTTTGGGCTTCAGTGAAATGTCACTTGATATTATGAAGCTGTATTGTAGGAACAGCTTCCAGTTCAGCGTGAGGCAGCTGGGTCAGTGTACTTCATGGCCAATGGATTTTCATTTTGAAATGAGAAAACCTGAATATACCAATCTATCGTTTATAAATAGGAATAACATAACATTTTTAGTTTTGAATAAAAATAGAAAAAGAAAAATAACCCAGTTTTGTTTTGAAAAAAAAAACAACAATTCTAAAAATAGAAACCGAATAAATGACCTAAAAAATTTTAAAACTGCCATTTCCATTTTTTTGTTTTGAAGAAATTACCACTGTTTTGTTCCCCGAATTATAAATGGTAGTCCGAATGAAAAATCAGTTGGCCATAAAGTACACTGACCCAGCTGCAGTCAGTCAAAGCTTTCTTATCCACTTGGCCTTCAGTATGCATTGCCCTACTTTTAAATATGTGAGAACTGAGTAACCTTTTCATTTCTATACTAAAGTGAACATGATATGTAGTAAATCACATCCTACTTAAGACATTTCCCATTTGTCTGATGGTGTTAAAAGAAAATATCATCACTGCTCTTGTCATTTAGATGACACAATCTGCTATAATGTCATTGCATTTGAAGTAATTCTTTTAAAGAGTGATTTTGGTTATCAGGACTGCACACTAAGTGAATTTATGTCATTAGTGGGAATTTAGTGAGAGTTTTCCCAAAGGCTAATGATCCAATGAGACATGGACCGGGGTTAGCCTAATGCAGCCATTATGCACTTTGACCAGCTGCCTTTAATTGCCTTGGAAGCAGTATGCGAGCGCGTGTGTGAGGCTTGTATTGTAAGGGGGGTGGGCAGGTGCTCTGCAGAAGGGCGAATTAGAGCAATACAAGCCGTTCTTTCAAACATCACAGACAGTTCTTTCAGGTAAACACGAGTGAGCCAGTCGGTCCGCTCTGCCCTTTGTCTCACTAATGCAGTATTTCTTTTTACATTGTCTCTTTTTTCTGGGGCATGTGGTAGCTTTTCTTTCACTCTATCTCACCTGCTCCCACCCCCCCTGAGGGATCATGATTACACAACAAAAAAGAGGTGGTGCTTTGAGTGCTCTTTGGCTAGGGTAGAGCTTGTGGTAGGGTAGTGGAACTCCTCCTACATCTTAACACAATGGTGACACTTCCAAAATCAATAACAATAATGTTATAATAATACTACTTTGTTTATGTAGCACCCTTAAAAACAGTGCCTTGACAGACAAAGCCAGAACAGGCCATATAACAACATACAGCCAGACAAAGCAAGACAAAATTAAGATACATAAAAAAAAATACATAAAACAAATAAATTAATGAATTAAAAAAAAATGAAAAGATGGTATCAAGTCTCTGAGGCAGGCTGTTCCAATATAACACTGATATTGTATATACCATTCAATATCTTATGGAATTTGGGTTTAATAATCATGATATAGTTTATTTTAATGATAGGCTGGTGTTCTTATTGTCAACAATTCCTATTGAAAGACCAAAACCAACATGTCTACTGTATCTACTCTCCCCAAGCCCATTGGTTCCTACTGAAGGCTGATCTTTAAAGCTGCACTAATCTATATTGTTATGTGAACACTGGATTAAATGACTATATGTAATGTGAAAATGGTCACTCAGTGATACAACCACAGAGAATTATCACCCAACCATGCAGTTCCCCTCAGCTCTATACAGCAATTTAGTGTCTTTTAACTCATTATTTTGGTTTCACTCTCAACACTCTCAATATTTGCTCCAGCAGCAGCAGGCAGCTGTTTTCAGTATAAAGTCGTCTAATAAACCCTACTGTACACCACCTGTCCAGCACTAAACAGCAGACAGACACTGTTAGCCACTAGCTGGCTGCTAGTAGTTGGTGGAGAACAAAACAGAGCCAGCAGGAGACATAATATTGGATTTTCATTTGTCAGGTGAACAGACACAAGACTCCAAATGAATGGTAATGTTTAAACATGTCTGATGGATGTGCCATAAAAAAAATGTAAGGCCATAATATGTCAAACTTGGGTGCCAATGTTTTTGGTAAACATTACTCAAACAATATGTCATAGCTTAGAAAAAACTGGATTGGACTCAAATGCAACACAGTACATGCAGCAGGATGTCTTCTGTGATTTAATGAAAGTAACTTACAAGCATCTTAGGCAGGCAGGCAGGCAGATAGATAAGTGTAAGTCTATGAAAAGCTAAAAGTCCAACATGAGAAAACAGGTAAAATGCAACCAGAGACAAAGTAACCAAGGATGAAAAAACCCAGGAGAATACCAAGAGCATGTTATCCACAGACGAAACCAAAATAAACTGACAACTGACACAAGGGGACACAAAGACTGAATACACAGGTGACGGGGAAGGACAATGAGACATGTGAATGTGAGAATAATCAAGGCGTGGCAAAGGAAAACCAGCCTATTTTCAGCCACACACTGAAGGTCAAGTCTTTTTACCACTAACACCGCAAAGGAGTTTTTTAAAAAGGGTCTCCATTTTGTTTGTATTTTGAGCATGTGCATGAGGCACCATGTGCACAAGCATGGGGTTCTGCACTATTGCTTCGGTTTATGCACCAAGGAACACAGCGATGCATTGGACGCAATGCATTGGACAGGTATTAGATGTTGAGATTTCCAGTGTGTAGGGTTTAGTGGCAAAGTTGCAGATTACAACCAACTGAATACAGCTCAGCCTCAAGAAGAAACTACGATGGTCACGACAAACAATCTAGAGCCAGTGTTTTGTTTGTCTGTTCCTGGCTACAGTAGAAACATGGTGGTTCAACGTAGTGGCCCGCTCCCTCTGTAGCTATAAACAGCTCATTCTAAGGTAACAAAAACAAAATGATAATTATTATATATACTGGACTTTTAAGATTTTAACATTTTCAAAGAATTAGCTTTGCAAATATGTGGCTCCTTGATGTGTTTTTAATAGTTTTATAGCACAGAGGAATAAGATATACCAGGCTTTTGACACATGGGCACTACTATACTTATTTCTAGAAGATTAATTAATAGTTGGTTTTGGTCTTTCATGGTATTTGTTAACAATAAGAAATAAGTATCACCAAACACAAGCTTTAAGAACTTTAAGTGTTTTACACTAATTTCCTGAGCTTATTTGAGTGTTCTAACCCATTATGTTTATATTACAAATTATTTTGAAAGTACTTCTAAAGCCCTAGTTGTCATCCACACACATATACATCCATATATATATTGTGTTACACTGATATTAAGGCTTTTCAGTAACACAGAGTAATTCCCATCTGGTTATTCTATCTATATTTTTTATATTTATATTTGCGTCAAGCATCAGATCGACTTTTAATATTGGAAGCTACAGTAATCTGCTACCGCTCTGTGGTTTCAACTCCCAGCTGTGCAGAATATTGCACAGTTTAAATTAATGCCAATATGAAAACTGTCAAGCTAAATTACATTCTAGCCTGTGTGACGCAGACTTCACACTCTGCAGATAGATAAAAGTGACATTTCCCATTGCTCAGGCAGAGGAGATCAGCACATCCTTACGACTCCAACTTCCCATACAGTAAACATGTTTATCACCACGATGGCCTTCATGGAGGCTCTTATACTGAAGCTTCTTGGGCTCAGAGAGAAAGAATGGCACTTAACAATCGGTGTATTAGCTCTGGAAATGAATAATCAAATTCTCTCTCTTTCTTTATAATTCTCTCTCTCTCTCTCTCTCTCTCTCTCTCTCTCTCTCTCTCTCTCTCTCTCTCTCTCTCTCCACACCACACATACACACAATATACTGCATGCATCATCCACAGCATCCATGTCTTCTTCCCGAACATCTGCGGTTCTTTCACCTAATTGCCTCCAGTGAGGTTTTATGAGACAGACTCTCTTCCCAGCTAACCTCTGTTACCACGGAAACAGCGTCATATACCCCTCACCCACCTCAAACACACATACATCCTCATCACCATCACGTGTACATGTGCATGTATAATTCTACAACTATGGTTGTTTCACTCCACTGGTTGTGTCCTCACATACACACATGCATGCATTAAGTAACATGCTTTCAGTGATGTACAGTAAACAGGAAACAGATGCCATGAAGTCCCAGGAGGATCAGATGAAATATGATATTGCTCTTGGTTTGTACTCTACATGTTTGTTAAAGCTACTCTGTGTTTACTTTCTGATTTTTTTTTCCATTTTGAAGGCATTCATAGTATGTAAAATACCCAAAACCCTAAACCTAAGTGTGATGTTTTAAAAATGTGTTTGCAAGGTGTTTTTTGCCTTTTCCAAAACACAAACACAATAGTGTAAGGCAGTGGTTCCCAACCTTTTTTCTTAAGGGACCCCTTTTCTGTCATTTAGTACACTGACAACCACTGACTGTATTTTAATATATTTCATGGATATGTTATGATACTACAAATAGTGAACTCAGTAACTGCAAACTGCAGTTTGTGTAAAAAGTGATTTGGATTAGTTTTGAGCAGATTATTTCCTTTCTAGGGGACATTTTGTACAATTCTCTGTCTGTATTTTGTGTTTTTAACAAACTTAATTGGCTTCTTTTTCTGATTTCTTGTCCCTGGCGCTTGGCCATTGTTCACTGTAATGTGATTTTAACTCAAAAAAAAATCTTGATTCCCCTAGAGACACAAACTTGGTTTAGTAAGTTACAGAAGTATTTTGTTTTCACAAAATTACAAATGAAGTCAGTGTCACTTGGATGGATTAAACAGTGTGATTATCTGCTCTAATGTAGGCTGCTAACGTAAGCAATGCATGCACGGCTAATATACAATCTGACAGTATTAACTAAGTGCATTGTTTTGTGGGGTTAGTATGCTAAAATGTGCTAATTAGCACTAAAGACCAAGTACAAGTGAGGCTGAAAAGAATAAAGGTTTATTAGTAAGTGGTATCCATATTATATCCATGTTAGAATGTCACCAGCAAGATATGTAACTACCTGTTCACTGCTAGTCACATCTCCTATGCTGCGCATCGTCTTTCATTATTTCAGCATGCACAAACACTTTTTGTGGTTAGGGGTTAGAAATAATAGATATAAAAAATATTAGATAGTTAGCTTTTTTTTCGAGAACATTTTTAAGGTGGTAGCAGGTTCAAGGTTTTCATTCATTAAAACCCTGTTGAGTCCCCCATTGTTTTCATACAGGCTCCAACAAGCCTTGAACATCACAGTGCTCTACCTTTTTATCACTGACTAAACATTAGGATCTCTTAAGCATCATTTTTCTTTCCAATGCTGCACCGACTTTCCGACGAGAGAGAGTAACACAATGAAGTTATTACTGACGCCTGAGTAGAGTTGATATGAAAATTCAGAGGATGATGCAGTATCCATATTTTATCCACAACTGAGCTGTGACACATTTCCAAGAGTTTCTGCAATCCTTCTAAATAGTAATACTGAGATCAAAGGCAGGCTATAAAACCTGTAACTGTTGAGAAAAGCTGCTCCAGCTTCTTAACTATAATCCTTTCCTCTTTCTCCCTGCTTCCACTTCTTTCAGCCTTTATCCTTCTTTCATTCTTTGTCTTGCTTGTAGAAAAAGGGTCAATATACATTTTTTGCCTACATAGCAAATGGTGGAGAGTTGACAGAAAATGGAGTGTGAATGACATGCAATATTTAATGCATTGTGGTTCATGGTTGGTTCATTCACCCATAGGCAACCGGGGTGCCCCTGCATTTGAAATTCAATGGAAATTTAATACAAGCCCACATCTAGATGTCTAGCCAAGACCACTTCTCATAGTCTACTGACATCAAATACCATCAAAATCTCCTTGACAAGACCCCCTTTGAGCCACAATGATCATGACAGAATGAGGTCAAAATTTTGACCAAGACACAGACATATCATCTATGGAAATTTTAAACAGCAGCAATATGTAAAGGTCTTTGTAAGATGACTTTTGAGCATCAATAAATATTCATTTGATGCTCACAGTTAGACATCTTGTTAAAACAACCTCTGAATATCAGAAGACGTTCGCAACAATTAACAGGTCAAAATGTATGTTTTTTAAAGGCCACTTTTGAATGTCAATGTTGAGTTCACAACAAGTTTACTATTAGATATTCAGCCCAGACCACTTCGAACATACAGAAATCCATTTCACTCCAGTGACAGGATAAACAAACAATTACAAACATGGATTTATAAAAGTAAACCCCAATTTACATTGTTGCCCAGCACTGTCCAGAAATGTACACCTATTCTCTGCCTTTTTTGGGAATTTGGGAGGTGTGCATCCACTCTAACACTGTTCTCTGAGAGTGATGTCATTATATGTCTTGTTTTGTCAGTCTAAAATCCAAAGATGTTCAGATAGAAGCAGGAGCATTTTCTGCCATTTTTGCATGAAAAATTACTTTAACAAGTAATCAGTTCTCAAAGTATCCCCCAGTATTTTATTAATCACTGCAGCTCTAATCATCCAATACTGATGTTCTTGTCTGACGGCAAGGTTGAACGGGCTCACAAGTACACGTCTTGTTAAGACCAATTCTGAACATCATCAGACATTCACAACACGATCAAAATTGAATGGTTTGGTCAAGCCCACTAAAATGACCCATAATAGCCACTCAGACTGGATTTCAGCATGAAAACTTCTTTCTTGAGAGGACAGAGAACAGCTCGGCTCTGGCTCATTAACTATGTGTCACAGTTGGAGGACATTGTGTGCGTGGAGACGGTGGGTACCTCAGTGTGACTTTTCTAAGTGGGTTTACAAATGAAAGACCATGGCCTATAGAAGATGAAGTATTGACTCATGGACCTGCTGACTAAATTGGATGCTTCTGAATGCTGCCTTTCATTCATTTCATTGTCTTGAAGGTTATCTCCTCCAGCTTGTGAGTCACACCATAATAGCAGAACACTGCCAAGCTCTTGTTAAAAGATAATATTATTTGTGCTGTTTGGAAGCAGAAATGTCCACCGTGACGCAGGCACTGACTCACAACTCAAAATTATAAAATGACTGCGAGGGCTGATTCTGATACCAATATAGTTTGTATTAAACCTGACTTTCCTGCAGACAATCCTGGTCGGAGACAGCGGAGTGGGGAAGACGTCTCTGTTGGTGCAGTTCGATCAAGGAAAGTTCATCCCCGGCTCCTTCTCTGCTACAGTGGGCATTGGATTCACGGTGTGTGTGCATGCACAATCAGTGTGTGCATATCTTTCACATACAGGACATTCTCTTGTTGAAATTAAGTAGGACAAATCACACATGTCAGTTCAGCCAAAATAAAGCCATGTTTTCTCATTTACCTCAAGTGATATGTTACATGATATGTTTTTTTGCTTTAAGTGGCCCAGTTTTTGAACTATCTGTATGAGATTTCTGCCTCCACTCCTCTACAATGGAAGTATGGAAGTAATTCCACAACACTGCTAAATCTCAACAGCAACAGGCCTTTACAGATATAGTTTGCCCTGTTATAGATGATTCACAGAACACTTGGGAAACAGAAGTACATCAACTTAATTACGTTATTAAGTCCTTCAAGCTAAATATAGGACAAGCTGACGTCACGATCACTGGCCAACTGCCAACCTGTTCTCTATGATGTAAATCTAATGAGCTATTGGTATTACCAAAGAACAATGGATGCTCTGGAAATAAACTACTTTGTTGTGCACCAGCATAGTGGCTAATGAGAGGTGAGCCTGTCACTTATTGCCCCTTGAGAGTGAGTTCTATTTCCGTGGCCCAGAGGTAACATGTTTGACTCTTAGCCCATGTACCGGACTCTTTAACTCCCAGTAACACAATGTCCTGGTGGTAATAGTAGCTGCCAGCCAGCTCTTCTCTTGATGGGAAGTTCAGGTTTTATTTTAGATGCAAAATGGTAGATAGCGTAGTTCAGATTTGTTTCACAGTCCAAAACAACAAATGTTTAATCGTCAAACATAACTCTGGTTGCTCTCTTGGCGTCAGCATGCCGAACATGGAGGCTTACCTTCTCTCTAGTCCGCCTTTACCCCTTTTACTTGTTGTAACTCAACTTTACAACAAGTGGTGGTGATGTTGAAATCATGTGCCCAAGGTGTAGTTTGTAGTAGTTCTGCCATAATCCTGAACAGAAAAAGAAAAAAGTAACCAGGGCGATGCTAACTTCCAGGTTGGCCTACAAAAAAAAAAAATCCCTGCAGCACTCTACTTCCTCAGAGGCGGTTAGATAAAAGTGGATGTTGACACACAGATAATGAGCTATGATAGCTTCCTTGATTATTAATGAACACTGCAATTTCCAATTTTAGAGTTCACAGAAGTTTAACTTAATGCAAAAGATTCAGAAGGATTGCAGTGATTCCACTGAAATTACTTGATACTGCCATCATTTTGCATTCCAAATGCTGATGTGACCGGGCCGAACAAACTAAAAGACTTGAGTAGTAGTTCCAAAGATGACAGTGAGGTGTGTGGATTAGTAACAAGGACACTGATTCTTGTATTGGAGTGGAGGCAGAATTCTCACAACCTGGACAAATACAGGAAAATCATGTTTGTTTTTTGTAATTCTGACAAATTGTTCCTTTAATCAGCCTTTAATATGAGTAGCTAGTGGCTTTTCCAACATCAGTTGTGTTTCTCCTCCTCTCAGAATAAAGTGGTGACTGTTGACGACGTAAAGGTCAAACTACAGGTCAGTAAGTGAATCAGTTCAAGAGAAAACTTGGATGTGCTTTCACAATAGAAGACCTATTTTTAGAGCACAGGCTGGTTTCCTCTTGGGCACCAGTGTTATAACTGAAAATTAGAGTTAGCCAAGTGGAACCAGGCCAAGTCTCCATGTACAGCTTCTTTTTCCTTCTCTGCTTCAGATTTGGGACACGGCGGGACAGGAAAGGTTCAGAAGTGTGACACATGCTTATTACAGAGATGCACATGGTAAGGCAAATATACTACGTCATCAACAGCGGACTCTACTTTTATCCACAAATGTTACTGCAGTAGAGATGTGCAGCAATGGAACCGTGTGTTCATTCATCTTTTTTATTGGTTCTATCTCCACAGCTTTGCTCCTCCTGTATGACATCACAAGCAAAACCTCCTTTGACAACATTCGGGTAAGTCTGGGATATGTCTCATGCCAAAGTATGTAATAGACCAGCCAATCCACTAGAGCAGGGCTGTCCAAAGTGGAGCCCATTGGCCAGTGCCTGAATTGGACCAAAAGAGGTACCAGTACCCTAATTCAGCATAACCCTAAACACAACATAACCCTAATCCTAACTCTTTTGGCATTTTTTATTCTTTTTAACAAGGCCATTTTCAGTGCTGTTTTCTTAGCATAAAGCTATCTGCATGTTTACACAGCGACAACAAATACTGTGTCAGCGCCACATTTTGCCTCACCTAGTCATGAAAAGCACTTGTGTATGAAGGTGCAGTATAGGTCAGACAAGCACAGGACTTTCACCCATGAGACCGCTGTTTGTGTCCTGTGTGAGACCAAAATCTTATTTTAAGTTATACGTATTTGTGTTAACTTACATAATGTACTTAACTTACGTCAGATATATTATCTTTTCCTAAACATAACCAAGCAGTTTGGCACTAATGCTAATCAAACAGCAAGCTTTATTTTGGAAGTGTAACAGGATGTTGCATATTTATTATTGCTCATTTGACCATGGAACAAGAACGCCTTGAAAACGTGACACTGCCACGCCTAGGTGAGGCAAAACATTACACTGCCATGGTGGACCAGTGTGTGTATTACATGCTTTGGCTTGATACATGGTTGGATATGTCTATTGCCTGGAGAGATATGGAATAAAGCTCCTGGATCAGTTATACAAGTGTTGGCACTCATGTATGTCTGTGTGTGTGTGTGTGTGTGTGTGTGTGTGTGTGTGTGTGTGTGTGTGTGTGTGTTATTAACCTGCCTTCAGGTTTCAGCCTAATGCAAACACACTTTCTCTCAGTTATTGTTGGACTGTCTGTGTATTTATGCATCTGTCTGTCTATCTGGTTTCAGGCATGGTTAACAGAAGTCCATGAGTATGCACAGAGCGATGTAGTCATCATGTTGCTGGGCAACAAGGTGAGTGGAAATAGACTGTGCAGCTCAGCAAGTGAAAAGAGAAAGTATGAAGAAAAAGAAAAGGGATGTGATCTTTAGTGAAACCTGTTACTGTTTTGATTCATTCTCAATGCTTTCATCAACCTGGCCAACTGCAGCAGCAGCTGTTTCCAGAAAAAAGGCTTTTATAAACCCACCGTACACTACCTGCTCAGCTACCTGCTCAGCAGACACAGTTAGTGACTAGCTGGTTGACTTAGTGGAGCTTTTAACAGCCAGATATTTCTCTGTTTCTCAGGAGATCAGATCCAAACTAGAGGGAGAGTGACTATTGGACAAATAAAAGCTGACGTTGCTCAGTGTCTGCTGGGTGTGTTCAAGCATTCTTTCCCAACATGTGGCTTGTTCCACTGCCCCCAGGTTGCTTATAAAATCTATCTGGACTGCTTTAGCTAACATTATTTGTCATTTTCATCTTGGCTACAATCAGCTGCTACCTACAGGCCTCCACTTCAAACTCCCCCATGTGATGATAAATGAAACTTCTGTTTAGCTCAAGGACTGGCTCCTCAATTCTAAAGTTTCCTGCTGGACACAAGATTCCTCCTACCTCACTGTAATAATGTAAATCATGCTGGTAGGCCTCGCCCCTTAAAATCAGCTTTTCAACGAGCACAGAGAAACTTTCCACTTTCAGCAGATGAATGTGAAAACATCCTTCTAGAGTCAAACTCTGCACATACAGCATTCAAACAGCACGCTGCAGGGACAAGGAGAAACTGATTTCTGACTGGAGGGGGGCTTTAAGTAACATAGCAATGTGCCAGCAATAGGCAAGGAAGATGTAAAGGCCGATGTATGAATGTAAACAGTGCAGGTTTGAATAATATTCCAAAAGAGATGTATTATGAGGAATTATAATAAATGAATACTGTTTACAAGAAAACTCCACAGGTACACTTTGAAATGTATGTTAAAAAGTGACACCATGTTTATTTGTACACTAATCATCCTGTACGAATTCTGTGGCTAAAAATAAGGATAGGATAGGATGCCACAAAGTATACAGAAGCCACATTTTTCAAGCAAAGTAAATAGTATATTAATGATGATGGCATTTGTTAGCTAGCATCCTATTCTAACCATACTGCACTGTGTCTCTCTGTCAGGCTGACATGAGCAGTGACAGAGCGATCAGGAGAGATGAAGGAGAGAGGCTGGCCAGAGTGAGTATTTCATTCACTGCTCTACAACCACAGCTGATGTGCTGTACTCTGCTGCTCACTGTTGTTTGCTCGTCTTCACGTCTTTAGGAGTATTCAGTTCCGTTCATGGAGACGAGTGCCAAGACTGGAGTCAACGTAGAGCTGGCCTTCACTGCTGTGGCCAAGTATAAAACAATTATTATTATACCGGTATGGTAGGGTATGGTATGGTATTGTTAATTTAGGTAATAACTCATAAGTGATCGATTTAATTAAATAATAAAATATTAAAATAATAAATTTCTTGTACGTTAGATCTAGATCCAGAAAGAATAAACCCTTACAAAAATATCACCAAAGCCATCCGATAATTTATTTCTTGAAAGGCCCTTCAACTTTTCAATTCATGCTGTAATGCTATAATGCGATTTTGTACATTTTAAGTGGATATAATTCATAAATTGACCTCAAATTTGGAGTGAACCCTTGAATTTGCATTTTGTCCTTATTTTAATTAGATTTTTCAATAATAAAGTACAAATGAAGGGCTATTTTAAATGGGCTATATACACCAAAATAATGATTATGAAAATATCAATATATCACACTTGAAAATATTTCAGACCTCTATTTTGAACCCCAGTCCCAATCATAACATTTATTTCTTTAAGTAAAACATAAAAATTGTATTGATACAGTTAATATGAAGAATATTATGCAAAAAAGCGCCATACGTGACCATTTATTAGGAATAATACATTTTTGACATGATTGATATAATTATTTTGATTTACATAAGAGTAGAGTGATCATATAATATACAACAATCTAATTCATTCACTTACATCATCCAGAGTTAGTCACACTCGCCTCCTATTAAACTGCTGAACTGTTAAGACTGAACCACTCCTCATTCTCCTCATAGTTGCTCCATGTTACTGCTTCCAAGTGTTCAGAGCTTGCCACGTAATTTTTTTCTTCCCACCATGTAAAATCCTCTAAAATGGTAATAAATAAAATCTGTGGTCAGCAGCCCAGCAGGCATGGTGCTGCAGCTGACACAGCAAGCTTCACAGATGGTTAAGTAAAATTTGCCCCATGCTTCATAATTTACTATGCCATCCAAATAATAATGACATCCCCAATGTAGTCATTTGTGTCACTTAAGGCAATCTAAGAAAAGTCCATCGGTACTGTTTTCTAAACTGTGTGGTCCTGTTTTTCAGGGAACTGAAGCACCGGGCCGTGCAGCATCCCAATGAACCCAAGTTCCAGATTCATGAGTACATTGAAGCACAGAAGGAGAAGTCCGGCTGCTGCAGCTACTTCTAAATCTCCTCTCCTGAGTCCTCCTCCCACCGCTCTGGGTGAACAGACTGTCAGAGACACACGAGAGCTACAGAGTGGGAGGATAGCCCTATTAACTCACTGCTGCTCCCAAAATATGATGCTGCCATTCATTCAACACTAAAAGCCAAAAGTAGATCAGTGGAGTGAGAGGAGGAGAAACTGAGCTACAGACTCACAAAACCCACAGTTTTATTTAGCTGAGAAAAGTTTACCCAACTGTTTTCAGACTGGCATTTATGATTACAGTAGTTTTAGAGAATAGAAGATTATTGAAATGATATGAGAAAATAACCTTGTTTTATTTGTGAGAGTTAGATGAGAAGATCAATACCACTCTGTGTGTGTGTGTTAAGTATGGTGCTGAATCAGGAAGTGGTTAGCCTAGCTTAGCATTCAGACTGGAGGCGGGAGAAAACAGCTAGTCTGGTTCTGTCCAAAGGTAAAAAAAAGATGCCTACTACAGATTTAAGCCATACTATATTAAAATCATATTGCTTGTTAACTTTTCTGAACAATAACAAACACACAGCCATTTATGGTTCTTTTTTTTTTTTAAATGTAATTCATTCATATATTTTGGCCTACCCTGTTATATTTCATGTTTATATTGTACTATTTTTCATATAGACAACTACATATAGGTTTCTGCCTCTTAAAAGGAAGTTTTTCTTTGCCGTCAAGTGCTTGCTCATGGTGGTACTGTTGGGTCTCTGTAAATAATTTTATAAGGAGTACGGTCTAGACCTGCTCTATTTGAAAATTGTACTAACGTTTGTTATAATTTGGAGCTATACAAATAAAATTGAATTGAATTGTAACTTCTCAAAGACTGCGCAGCCTTGGACAGGGTCTTGACTGCTGTCCCTTACAGAGCTCATGTCGTCTGAGCTAGTTTTGTCATTCTCACGCCCCAGTTCTGCTTTTGAAACGATCAGATTCATAAATGGCACAAAAACACATTTCTCATCAGCAGCAGCCTCAGGTACATCCTCATTTCCTGCCAATATCAAAGAAAATGCTGCTCTGCACTAAATCTGACTGTTACTGTGACAGTAAGCTATAAGCAAATGTTCCTACATTGTGTCTGTAGTTACTCAAAGTAACAGTGAAATGAATGGACTGGGGGGGGGGGTAATTAAGACCCAGGTTGCTAAAGACCCCAGGTATGCATTTAAAGGTTCACCTGCACACTAAAAGAAATACAATATTAACACTCTGCAGCAGCTATGTGAGATTGTATATCAGTGGTTTGAGCTAAATGCTGACATTAGCATGCTAACATGCTAACAATAACAGTGCTAAAATGCTAATATAAGTAGTATGATGTCTACCAAGTTTAGCATTTTAGTTTAGCATGTTAGCATGCTAATGCTCATAAGGGATGAATAAGTATTTGGTCATATAGGACAAATTCAAATGTTGACCTGATGTTGGCATTAGATGGAAAGTTAAGGGATCATCAAAGTCATTCAACTCGTCTTCACAAACAGGACTGTCAATACCCATTTTAATGACATTCAATCCAAGTGTTGTCAAGACTAAAAAAACAGAACGATCAACCTCATGGTGGCGCTAGAGATTTCATGGTAACCCATCCAATTGAGCTATTTTCAGTCTGGACCAATGTGGTAGACTGACAGACTGACCAACATAGCCATACCTAGAGCTATCGTGCTAGCATGGCTAAAGCAACAATTTATTGTGTGAGGGGAGTTACATGTTTCAGCTAACGAATGCTTAGCTTAGCATGCTAAGCTAGACTACCCACAGCGCGACTGAACCTCCTCACTTAATGCAGACACATGAGATTGAATTGATCTTCTCATCTAACTTTTAGAAAGAAAGGGAATATGCATATTTTCCGATTTTTTTCTTGAAGGAATTTTATAATTCATGCTTCTTTGAACAATATTTTTTCAAATATATCTTAGGTCATTTGCCTTACATAGATCTCTGACTGGAAATAGTTTTATACCTACATTTTAATTGACCACTAAATCCTTGCTGATGGAAGTACAAGGATGTTACAAACACCAATTTGCCAAAGTGAAACATATTGTAAAAACTACATACAGCCACACAACATTAATAGAAGCCAGAAGAGAACACCACAGAGTTATATAAGTTGTGGATCCACAACATTGCTACAACCTTATGTGTCATACAATCTACTGACAGATCTAGACAAAGGCCATACACTGTGTCATGGATGCAATTCAAAGCCAAGTCCGTGGACAAAAGCCCTGTTTGTTTGACTTAGTCAGACTGGTTCATTCTTGACAAACTGCTCTCGAAGTGACTGTCAGCTGCTGCTTAACGCTCGCTGACTCAAGAAAAGCTCAGGGACACAGCTGGAGAATAAGCTAATGTTCTCTGAGCGCCTGGTGAGGACGACTGCAAGACAACTCTATTTCTGAACATGCACAGGAACGCATTCATGTGGTCATGATAAAAAATGTTTTGGTCACCTGAAATGTGTCTCTACAGGAGGAATGCTGCAAAAGACCAAACATAAACTTGCCAATGATCTGTGGTTGGATTTCCAATTTTGTCTTTAATGTATGGAACATCTATGTACATACTGAATTTGTGAGTGAGCAGATTTTTGAAAAATAATTTTCCTCCCTGAAAAAAAAAAATTGCTTTTATAGCCTGATTTTAATGCTTAGTTGCATGTTCGCTGGATTGCATGAACCAAATCTCTGCACAGTGCCTCCAGAATGTATTAAAGTTGGTTTATATTTGTATCAAGATTAACGGAAAAATATGAACAAATAATCAGCATTTCTCTTCAGATTTTAACTCAACACTCAGGGTTAAATTTTGATTTGAAATATGAGATCTAGATATATGTATGTGTATCAAAACATTAAAGCTGCATAAATTGATTCATAAAAAGACATTTGCCACTAGGGGGCAGCAGAACAAAAGGTTTTTGGCCACCAAATAAATGTATTATTTACTCTTTAAAGGCTAAATGCCACGCTTTGTTTATCAGCTAGTTGCTAACTTTGTCTGACACTTGTCGTTAGGCAGGTATGGTACGGTGAGGTTTATCAGAATATTTGAACTAAGCTCAGTTTTAAATACTTAAAGATCCAGTGTGTAACATTTAGGAGGATCTATTGGCAGAAATGGAATATAATATTCATAGGTATGTTTTCATTATTATATAATCACCTGAAAATTAGAATTGTTGTGTTTTCGTTACCTTAGAATGAGCTGTTTTTATCTACAGAGGGAGCAGCAGCCCAGAATGGACAAACCAAACACTAGCTATAGCTAATGGCTTGGAAGGCAAGCAGTAATCAAATGGTGATGCAACTTCACCGCTAGATGCCACTAAATTCTACACACTGGCCCTTGGCTTTAAGACAAGCTAAAATGCTACATAGAGCTAAGGAGAACTGCAGAGTTGGATTGTAATTCTCTGTGGGTTGTTCATTACGGCAACACCTTTTACATTGCACATAATCATTTAATCCATTGGTAATATTAAAATATTGATTAGTGCAACTTTAAGGAACCAATGATGTCAGAACAACAGCTCCATGTTCAGGTTTTACACAAACAAGTCTATAAACTTTGACAACAGTATGCAATGCTCTTCTGCAAATATTTCATATTAGTCAGTTACGGGATGCTCTGACTCAGCACAGCTCAGGTCTGACACAATCTAAAATTATACATATTGTGAACATTAGACCTTGTATATACTGAGCAGTTGTTTGTTGTCAGACCACACTGCCAATAGCTGTCTTTGATGTGCTGTATGCTGCATAAAAAATAAACTATTTTTAACTGAACACACTTTATATGAAGTCTCCCCTGCAGTCACCCACCATATGGTTGTTAACTGTAGCCAGAAGGCTGCTCATGTGTATGTGTGTGTCTGTGAGAGAGAGAGAGAGAGAGAGAGAGAGAGAGAGAGAGAGAGAGAGAGTGCCATCAATGAAATACAGACAAACCAATGGACAAACAATGCCTGTGAGGCTTTCCAGTCCCTGTTCCATTGAATTCCTCTTATATCTTTGGCTGGGTTTATACCTCACTCATTAAACAATCATAAAACGTGTGTTTAATGTGTATTAAAGCTGTAAGGTTATAAACCTACAGGAATAAATAACTTCCTATTTGCAGGTCAAGCCTTCAAAATAAAAGGGCAAGCATTGCAGGCCACGTAATAGCATGTGGTATCACTATTTGCGCTCTTGTCTCGAGAAGCCATATGAAGTTGTGACCAAATCGTACTGCAATTTGTGGTCGTTGAAAGTTGTTGAAAAAGTTAAGATAGCTCAACAATCTTTCAAAGAAACCCTTCAGCCATCAGAGGTTTTAAAGATGATAAAAAGATAATGAACTCATTTAGAAATGAACATCATTCATATATGTTGGTCACACCTACAGTATCCTGCACAGTGACAACCTTGTAGGAAAAAGTAACCAAAGAAAAGATTACATTTACACAGTAAACAAGTCTAACCAGAAACCTGAAAATCAATTTTTTTTATATATATATATGTTGAATTATTTCACCTGTTCAGTTATTTCTTTTGTGTAATTGAATTTCTTCTACATAATGCTCTAAAAGCCAATTGTCTTCTCTTTCAGGAATTAATTCTGATTTAAAATGTGTTTTAAATTGTTGTATTTATTCTGTTAGTGGAGGTAGCCTATTTCTTCAATTTTCTTAGCCTGAAAATGTTTAAGTGTAAGGACAGTGGGTCTAAATTTTATTGATATAGAACACACTCTAAATAACTGTAGTTGGGATACCCATATTCTCAGACAGTCCTGATTGCTAAATTAAATCTCAACAGTCTGAAAAGTATTAGCTTTTATTTTGAAAATCTGATGGCACGTGTTAAGGCCTTTGTGGCGGCTTGCCTCTGGTACCGCTGTCGGATTGGATGTGAACAGAAGATTGCAACAGAGCAGTTTGGAGGGGAGGACCTGTGAACCAGGCGGTAGGAGTGAAAACGCAACAGCGGAAAGTTTACTGTGAGTCAGGTCAGCGGAAGTGGAGCTCTAGCAAAGTCAGTGTGCGCAACAGGTGTTAGTTCTTCGTATGGTTGTTGTGTGACTCTTTTTTTAAAGCTTCGAAGTGGTTTGGACAGTGAGGGTAAAAGTTTTTTCTCGGTTAGAAGAGTAACAACATGTCAAATCTCCGACCCCGACTGTGTGTGCTGGAGAAAGGATCCAGCGGCTACGGGTTCCACCTGCACGGAGAAAAGGGCAAGACGGGGCAGTTTATCAGGCTCGTGGAGCCCGACACTCCCGCCTCCGAAGCAGGACTCCTCGCGGGCGACCGTCTGGTATTCGTGAATGGAGAGCGCGTGGAGGGCGAGAGCCATCAGCAAGTGGTCGCCAGGATACGGGCCACCATCGGGGCTCTAGAGCTAATAGTGGTGGACGCCGAAACGACTGAGCTTCTGATGAAACACAACCTGCAGTGCCGGAAAGAGTTCGCCACGGAGGGGATTCCCCTGCCCGGCCGGGACAGCGACTCAGACCGCGGGGACGCACAGAGCAACGGCACCCCGAGGGAGTCCAGCCCTGTCCCGCGTGAGAACGGGGATGCCTCGTCCGAGAGGTCGGATAGGCTGAGTGTTAGCTCCAGCACCAAGGTACAGTAAAGCACACAGCAACTCACTGTGTTCAAGTTACTGCGCACTGTAAAACCAGACAAGTTCACTTAACTCAAAAACACGTTGAACCTGATTGCAACAAAAGTTTTAAGTAAAACGAAGCCAATTTGTAAGTGAAAAAAACATTCTTTATGAAGTAGCTTTAGTTATTTTACTGACTTTATTTTGGAATTTTAATTTGTACTGTGAAAACAAAATACCTAGTAAAAAGTACTTACTAAGCAATATTTCTGTTTCTTACAAAACAAAGTTAGTTGTCAGTTCAAATTAATAGTAAAAGCTGCTTAAGCAAGAATCTTATTTAACTTAAAAAAAAATTTGTTTGTGATTTCAGATGTAAAATAGCGTATTACATTACAGTGTAGTGTACTATAGACTTATATTATGTTATGTTTTTTGAGCAAACATATTTGAAAAATCATAATGATAATAAACCATGACAACTGTCAGGTTAAAATGTCAGCTGTTGACCTCTTGAACCTGTTGTGAAGTCAATAGTATTGGGCCATATGGATCAAATCCTCTATCATTTAATCAGGATATCAATATATACAGTATTATAATAGAGTAAAACGTCAGGAAAATCAGTTGAGCAACTTGATTGTGGAGGTTTGTTCTTGGCCTTTGGATCAGTGTGTGTTTAAAAAAACACCCTCACCTTTACTTTTATGTTACATCACTTACATTTGTTGTACCCACAAACAGTTTCTTAGGTGAACTTTGTTGACAAAATATCCAGGTAGAAATGTCTATTTTTGGCTAATCCAACAAGTTAGGTGAATTATAAATAAAGGTATTTTATCATGCAAAAATCATATACTTAAACAATATTGCCATAAAATATTCTTGATCATTGATTTGCAGTATCATTTACAATGCCCCAATACATCCAGAGATGTTACAGGGATAGCTACCACGGTATATCCAACAGTATGGCAGTGTGTGAAAGGTTCTCCACCTCTTTGAAAGACATTTCATCCCATATTACAACACTATAGGATTCAGACTAACTTCATATACATCAACTAAAACAGCGGTTCCCCTGGCTTACATCCTCCTATCTGATCTGAGGCCAGCCCTGCCTCTGAGCTGCAAAGGTTATGTGGAAATAGATCCCCTATTAAGTAGCCACTTCCAGTGCCAGTGAAAGGCTATAAGCTAAGACAGAGAGGTGACACAGCAGAGGGAAACGTGCCAGGCCTCTACTCATTCCTGTTGAACAGGGCCTTTGTCATATAAATGTCTGTCAGTCTCCCCACTTCCCCTCTTGAATTCCCCGTCAGGTTTGGCTTGTCAGACCAGAAGCTTTGTTACATTATTGCATGTCAGTGAGACGGAGCATCTTTTTATTTTTAATGCTATAATTATTATCTCATAGGATTCTGAGAGATATGAACTGAAATTATTGTGTGTGGGCATTAAAGGCACTATTTTTACCCCCCGAGTGTCTAGACTTTCAGTGTAGCATGAAGGTGTTTGTCATTTTCTGATTGAGCTTTGTTGATAGTACTCACAAAAAGAGCTAGATTAACAACAATAATGGTTTGACGCCCTGTCTAGGAATTCCACCACATCAAAATTTGAAGTACTTTACATGCATTTCTTTTCTTGGATTAGCATAATCCATGCTCTTTAAAACACCAGGCTTTTGTTGTCCGTTATGAAACAATTTTATGAGGTTATTCTTTAAAATGGTCCACAAACATGGTTCGATTTAGGCTACTTAACTGTCTTAGCCAGTGCAATGTCTGGGTCCTGATTTAAATGTTGTGTAAGCCTCATTGTGGAGGTGTTCAGCAGTGTGGAGCTCGGAGAATGGGCAAGTGGTTTTTATTTAGGACTGGCACAAATTGCACGCAAATACCGATGTGTTCCATGCAGCAGCACAATGAACGGCTGTTCCACTCTGCGTCTCACATCTCGGATGAAAAGAGAAATAGGCATGGCAGAGACACTTATTTTTATTATTTTTCTCTTTTTATAGCACAGAAAAATATCTGTATCATCCCAGAACCTCCCAATCTGTGGCTCCCTAGTTGAAAGACTCATGCACAGTGGCCTCACATGTGTTTCTGTTACAACTGTACAATGCTAATTATTTGCAGAGATGTGCAGATGGCAGATTGGCAGATAATAAAAATGTATGCAATGTATGCAAGTCTCTTTCTAAGCCCGTAACAAATAGTTTGAGTCTTTGTTGTTAATGTTGGCGTTCGAATTCTATATCAGTATTCGAATGTTTCACAGGTAAGGATGCTATACAAATGTAGCAACCAGGTTACATTGCTGACTCCATTTGCATTCACACAGAATCCGCCATTGTGGCATACTTCCTGAAGGGTTGTGTGTAGCTGTTGCCATGTTTATTTGTACGTTTTATTTGTACATGACAAATGACATTTTATTTCTCTGATTCACTGCTCTGTTCCTGGTAGCTCCCTCACTTCATTCTCTCTCTATGTCGCTTGACCACCACTGGCTGTTTCTCTTTTTCAGCATGGGGCCAACTTTAATGCGTGTTTTTACAATTGGCAACCAATAAATCTTACTCATACTGTCTTTAAAGACTAACTCATTTAATTTGATGAACCACTTAATTCAAATTGAGGATTTTGTTAAAGGATTTACATTTTTTTGTAGGTGATGGCATCATTTCATCATCAGCTTCATTTGAAACCTCAATATAAGCCCCGCATTTTGGTTGGCTACATTCAAATTATAATAAGCACATTCTGCCTCTGTTCTGCTGTTATAAATGGCTGTCTAGGTCTCTGTCTCATTCTACGTAGGTGGCTCCCGCCCCGTCACTAATACTCTGACCTCCAGTAAGTGAAAAGCCCAGGCTGGCTGGGATGCTGCACACCTCCAGCTACATTCCTCCCTGATGGGAAATTTGGCAGAGCCCGACTGATGGTCTGATACTGGCCTCTGATACCAGCCTCCCAGTGGGACACACTTGAGTGGGCCGGCCAGTGATGACGTGAAACTGACCCTGCCCAGCTCAATCCTGGTTATGCTTCTAACAATAGTTCCTTTCACGTGATTGTCTTTGGTTAGACTTGGCATTGCGGGCCAGGCCTCAGTCACCAAACCTTTTTCACGCAAGATTAGGCAAAATCCTCATGGTGATAGTGTTAACAAAGACTTGGATATCTAATTCTTCAGAGATTGCTTTTTTTCCTGAAAGATAAAAGCATGAACTGAGTGAGCATGTCATCATATTATGGTAACATCCTGGCCTCCAGCGGCTCAGTCCTCCACACCACACCAAGGGCCGTCTATCGGTCACCATAGAGACCCCCGGCAGCAGAAAGAGGCTTTGTCCACAGTGTTTGCATGGGGAGAAAGGCTTCTGGGCCAGGGAGGAAAGGAGAGAGGACTCTCACGCCTCAACAAGGAGGCCATGCTGACCCTGAAATACCTACACCCTCACTTAACACACACTGTCAATAGGGCTGGTGTGAAGTGAGAATATGTGTGTGTGGGTGTGGGCAGGAGTGGCCTGGCCACGGGATTAAACAGCAATTTGTTCTCCTCTACTTGTAGATGTGAAAATGTCAAACAAATGATGAAATAATGGGATCCTAAATGAATAGGTGTCAGAAGGGCCGAGGCCATTTCGCTCCCCACAATCCACTGGTTACTCACTGGAGAGGATACAGACAGATTGAGCCTGTTGTTGTATGCTTGTCGCCCCCACTCCCTGTTTGTAGAAGACTTTGATCCTCAGAGTGAAGGCCTTGATGCAGCCCTCATCTTTCCAAGGGTTCATTTCGTCTTCGTTGTTTCACAATGTCTCTTATCACCCAGCTCATAAAAGCCTGGGAGAGAACAATTAATCTGCCTTTATTGATTCAGGAGTAGTGAACACTATAAATCACAGTCATGTTACTCTGTGTCGCCACAGTTGCTGACGTTTATTCCATTAGACACTTGTTCCATTCAGTACCGAAGTTGCAGCCTTTAAGTATAATATTTTGTTTCCCAATCACTGAGCATATCTACAAGGCTCTTTCGGGTCTTACAGTGCTGAAATGAAGAGTGAGTTGATCAATTAGTGGACCATATAGCTCAACCAATGGTGGAAACTTGTGAATGCTTAATAGTGGACAGATAGCGATGGAAACATTGTTTCTAAATTACCTCGAACTATCATACCATTTCTTTTTATTGCAGTTTACTTATCGGTCGGCAAGTATTCCAAATACCCTTATCAGCTCTAATCAATAGGCAGAAAGTCAATAGCCTATTTTGATCACTAATTAACCGTTTAAGCAGTGTTTCCTCTAGGATTTTTTTTAGCAGTGGGGGCAGGCCCGTCCGAACACCCCCAATTAAAACGGACCCACCGCGGTGACGTCTTTGGTGGAGCTTTTAGTTTAATAGTCGACTTGGAAGAAAGCAAACATTTTGACAATAAGCTACATCAACACAACAGTATGTGGAGTTAAACTGGACAGCCCCAATAACCTCTGAATAGTTCTACTTGTTGTTAAATTGCAATGTGAGCTGCAGCCAACATTATGTCGGCAGGGTCATTTAAAAGGCAACCGTGACTACATTGTGTGTCTGCCCCATTTCTAATACCGTGGCGGCAGAAATTTAACAGCGGTGGGCCGCCGCTCCAAAATCAACATAGAGGAAACACTGTTAAGTCATTTATCAAGCATAATGCTAAACATGCTGGTTCCAGCCTGTCAGATTTTTCTGATTCTCAGTTTAATATCATAGTTGCCTGGAGGTCAAAGGTCCTTTTTAATGGACCCTGCAGATGGCTCTTGGTGCACACATGCAAATTCTCATAATGTACACTGAAAGAGATTTCCATGCTATGTTGCTGGAACTGCACTTTTTAAATGGCGTCTCCCACTGACTGAACGGAAATGAAAGGTCTTGTCGGTGAGCATTGTTCGAGCCCTCAGCAGTGATCACATAATTATCGTTATTACCATGTATGTGCTGAAAGGCTGTTAGATGTG